GTCGGGTAAACGTTATCGCACAGAGCCCAAACTTTGCACAGGGTCTCTACTAGGTCCAATCTTTCATTTGAGGTACCGACCTCGAAACTTTTTTTTCTGGTGGAATGGCCTACTGTCAGATGATAACTATGCGATAGTTAGGTTAGAGGATATTCCATCACGATAGTAGGGCCTATTTTCTTGAGGCGCACAGTCAAAGTTACTAATTATAGTGAGGAGTCTGTACGAATAGAACCAAGTTGGGGATCAGAGCTCTGCAAAATCGCCTCGTCGACCGACCGAGCTCGACCGGCAGGCGGTCGGCACCGAGGTGAGAGGTGAGGAGAGGAGCACCCGCTCTGTTTCCCCTCCTCACCTCTCATCTGCACGCAGTCGGTGCCGACCGCCTCCCGGTCGAGCTCGGTCGGTCGACAAGGCGACTTTTTCAGAGCTCTGCTCGTGATCTTTTCGTTTAAGTGTCCGGTCGTGACAGTGACAACCAACGCCTGGTTGTGGTTATCGGATTATCGATTCATGCTTTCAAATTTAACCTGCCAAACAGTTGATCCCCAGAACTAAGTCTTTTTTTTTCGTGTCTCATTACAAAACACAAAATAAATACACTCACTGTGGCGTTCGGTTTCAGGCCGACGCGAGCAAGCTGTTTAAACGCATGCGCCTTGCGTACGGAATAGCACACCTATACGGCATTAGTGCCTCTGTCAGTCTGGTGCTGCCCGTCATACTGCAGGGCAAACTGATCTTGGAAATGTGGCCGTGGTTCGACGGCGAGCTAGGTGTCTGGCTTGGCATGGTGCTCCAGGCAGCCACCGGTTACCCGGCATGCATCCCATGCTTCCTGGGCATTGTGATCACCGTATCCATGAGCGAGACGCTACGAATGCTCTGCCTCATAGTCGCAACACAGCTCAGGGAGGCGAAGACGGTGTTTCAAGTACAAGAGGTAAGAGGTATGGCTGTTCTTCTCGCTCTGTCAAAAAGCCCGAAAAAGGACCGGGGAGGGGGAACATGTGTAAGATCAGCTGCTACATAACTAAGAACGCTCGTCTTAAAAATATATTTTCTTGTAAATGTGCAGTTATTAAATTTTAGTAGAGCAACCACCGGGGGGATTCATGTGATACATGTTTTTAGCCCACCCTTCTGCTCTTTAAAAAAGCATTAGAGCGGGCTTATGCAACCGCTCTCGTGTCTGTCTTTCTGCCGTCCGTGTTAGAGGAACGGGATGAGATAGAGCGACTGTACCTATTTCGGATCAGCCCCTAATTCGGATCAATGAGAACTACACACGCTCCCTCGCTAAAATGTATGGGTTTTAATTTTTTTGGTGAAAAGGTTTGTTGTTTTCTACCAGAAAATACCATCGCTTCGCCCTATTGCGGCCCAAGCGGCCCGCGCGGGCGAGTTGAACATAAACAATCATCGTTTAGGAGGAATGTTGTGGTTTGCTCAAGTTGACATTATTTGGTATGTACGCATAATTTCGCGTCAACCCAGGTATCAATCTGTAGTTCAAGGCCTAGAGAGCACGTTTCAAACGTGGATTCGATCTAATATCATGCCAGGTTAAAACGCGGGTAGAGGTCAAAAGTAACAACTTCTTAGGTCGAGTTTTGCGAGCAGCTTCGATTTAATGATGGTCGAAACTATTTTGGTGCTCACTATTACTTAGTTTTGTCACGGAATATTTCAAAGGGTTGCTGAAGGATCCGTACTTGGTCATCCTGGACAGTCCAGAGGACCGTATTTGCCAGTTTCACTGCATTTTATGTCGATTTAGTCATAAAGACCCTTAAATAATCTCGATCTCTCGCAATAGACATTCCAGCTGCTCAAGAATAAGATGTGTACAGTACTGCCTCGATCTTGACTGGGGAATCGGGACCGGACTTCAGCTTAGAGAGAACGGCCCGAAAGTTAGCCACATGTTGCCAGTCTATTGTGACGACGCGCGCCCGGGCACCGGCCAGTTGTAAATGCCTTGTCTACCGGCCGGCCGGCGAGCTCGCGCGAGCTCGGAAGGTTGTAAACCCCCTTCCGTAAGCAGGGACCGCCTCAAAATTTCAGCTTACAGCGGGGCAGCCTAGATCGGGGCAATACTGTACTCATCTTTTTAACTTATTCTACTTAAAACTGCTGCCGAGTCCGTTGCTGGCCGGTTTCTTAATTATTACTTTCATTTGATCCGAATTAGGTGCACATGCCTATTTCGGATCAGGCAATAATTCAAAGACCCCGTGGATTGTGGGCCAAAATCTTGATTGCATCAAGAGCCGACTACTGTCAGGCTTTAAGATGGCAAAATCACCATCTTTATCCAAAGCTGATCCGAAATAGGTTGATATGTCCCTAGTTCGGATCAAAATCACGTCTATACTCAAACTGCCATAACTCCGAAACGGGTGCAGTTACGGACATAAAGAAAATGCTTCTGGTTAAGGAAGATTTTACCTTTTGGTGCCTTCCTACGCCATTGTTCTAAAACCTGTGTGCTTTGGTAAAGGGCGGGAATACAAAAATCTGATCCGAAATAGGTTCAGTCGCTCTAAATAGGTCTAAAAATTTCAGGGTATCTAACGGGTCACCCCTGGACAACGAAACACCTGTTGCAAAATCCTGGCAACCACCAGGCGGTGAAAGGGGGTGACGAAGAAATAGGGGTTGGTCCACAAAGTAGGAAACAATTTTTTTATGGTCTCCTAAGGGGTAACTCATGAAAGTAAATTCTTCTGGGGTAAAATTTTGTCCGTTTGACTCTATCTCGCATCGTTTTTGGGCGTTTTTTTGGTGTTTTTTTTTGACAAAAATCGGATGAAAATGACCACGTTGCACATTAAGACGTACAAGGAGGCGTCCAATCGTAAAATGTCAAAGCAAGTCCAAGTACCCCCCCCC